CTCGCCCGCCGAGGCGCTCGGCATGTACGGCGACAGTTCGCCGGCCGAGACACTCGGCATATACGGCGACAGCTCGCCCGCCGAGGCGCTCGGCACGTACGGCTCTCTCGCCCGCCGAGGCGCTCGGCATGTACGGCGACAGTTCGCCGGCCGAGGCACTCGGCATCTACGGCGACAGCTCGCCCGCCGAAGCGCTCGGCACCAACGGCAGCTCGCCCGCCGAGGCGCTCGGCACAAACGGCAGCTCGCCCGCCGAGGCGCTCGGCACCAACGGCAGCTCGCCTGTCGAGCAAGGCATCGTCACCACCATCGGCTGCACCGCCGACTGCACCATCGGCTGCACCGCCGACTGCACCATCGGCGGCACCGCCGACTGCACCATCGGCTACACCGCCGACTGCACCATCGGCTGCACCGCCGACTGCACCATCGGCTGCACCGCCGACTGCACCATCGGCGGCACCGCCGACTGCACCATCGGCGGCACCGCCGACTGCACCATCGGCTACACCGCCGACTGCACCATCGGCTACCTCGCCGGCTGCACCGCCGGCTGCATGAGGGCGTCGACGTGCCGGCGGAACGTTACCATGGTCGCCGCCTTGGTCATGATGTCGGCGTGGTTGAGGTCCGTGTGAATCTTCTTGACCTTGATCACGCCGTTCTCCTGCGCTGCGCGGATGTAATGGTACTTTACATCGATGTGCTTGGTGCGCTTGTGGTGCACGGGTTCTCGACCAGCTCGACCGCGCCTTGGTTGTCCTCGTACAGGACCGTCGGGTCGGGCTGCGGGTTGCGGATGAACGAGGCGACCTCGCGCGCCGCGTCCGAGGCAGCGATGTACTCGGCCTCACAAGTGGAAAGCGCGACGATCGACTGCATGCTGCTCGACCGGCGCGCTGTTGAGCATCACGACGTAACCGCTTGTCGACCTGCGCCCCTCCGTGTCTGCGCCCCAGTCGGAGTCGGCATATGCCACGAGGCCGGGGTGCTTGGAGTCCTCCTTGTAAAATCAAGGGTGTGTGTCCAGGATCCCGATTGGACAATCCATCTCGCCGCCCCAGCTGCTGCTGGCCTCGGCGCCTCTGGCCGCAGCCGATCTGCAGGCCGCG